TATTCGGCCGACCGAAAAAGGGAGGGGTCGTATCCACAAACGGGCTGCAAGACGACGTAAAAAGTGCAGTGTCCGGGAGTGCACTTTCAGCCTCTAATGTTCTCCAGGAGCTCTGCACGCTGTCGGAGAGTCACACAGACATGAGCTCCATGGGAGCATTAAAGCATGCAGAGCACTATAAGTCTCACCATCAGCTTATTATCCTTAAGCGACGCTATCCGGACGGCGCTTTTGCTCCGCGGCATAGATCAAGAGTACAATAGACAATAAGCCAAAAATTGTGTACGTTTTAACAGGAAAAAAATGATTAGTGCAAAAACATGGTCTGTCTTCGATGATGAAACATTCCTGAAATCCCGAGGAGAACAAAGTGTAGAGCAGTTCATGGGAAAGTGAAACAAGAGTGCCATATAACAGCACAATACAACTCAATCAGGATACTAACACCTTCTTCAGGAAAACAGAAGACTTCAAAATGCGAGTGCGAACTCTGCCCACAGATAGGTGCACGGCGTATACCCGAGGCGTTTTCCCATAAAAACGCCTCCTCTGTAAGCGGCCGTAAGCAGACAAACTTTCTGAAGAGAGTTTCGATGCTTTCAATATAAAATCTAAGCGAAACAAAGTGTAGCGCGAATTTGCTGAATTGAGTTCTAGAGACGCCGTAGGAAAATTGAGGCAGAAGAAGGAATTTCAGGGAAATTTTCACAGTTGTTATAAAGTACTCTTCGAGTGGATTCCAACAATCTTTACCGCTTCTCATCACATTAATTTTCAAAGGAAGTTATGGGCCTTTGAAGACTGCATAGTCGCGGTCCAGGAAAATGGCTTGAAAAAAATCAAGGTGGAAAAAACGGAACAACGGGACTATTTTTTGAGCGAGTGATTATTTCAAGAAGTTTTAGCACTTATTCGAAAGCTCTAATCCTCTAGTTTCTAATTAGCCTTAGACATCTGCAAAATGTTGAGTATGAAGAAAGTTATGAATGTTTGAATGTCAAAAACTCGCGTGTGCACAGAAAACGGAACAACGGGACGATTTTTTGAAATACTGAACATCCACAACCATTTCCTCCTCTGAGCGAGACAGAGCGCGCGGATTGACCACGGTCCACCACTTCTCCATGTTGGTGACTGCCATCATTGATGAGCATTGATGAGCATTAAATTATGTGAAAGACATGATAGTTAATATGGGGGGTCGTACCGATACCCCCCGAAAAGGAAGGGGGTCGTAAAAATTTGGGAATTTGCGCAACGCAGGGTTGACCCTGATTCAAGGACATGTCAACTGCAGCGCGCTCAGCGTTCGTAGTGTTATATGGTACTCTCGCAATGCCAGCATATATAGCACTTTGCCTTACAGTCTTCCAGTTCTCTAACAAACAGGCGTCAACCTGGCTCCGAGAACATGGACGATGTTCAAAACTTTACGACCCGATTCCCTTCCAACGGGCCTCGATACACCGATACTATTAGGGTTCAACCCTTCACCATCTGTCTGCTCGCAGACAAGGGGGCTAAATTCTATAGCTTATTCGATTCTGGACACGTCGACACGAGAACACCAAACTTCCGCCCACTTCTTTCCTCCAAAGAATTGCGCTGCGTGCAAGAGGGGGGGGGAGGGGAATACCACCTGTGAAACGGCCAAAATTTTAGCGCACCCAACTGCATACATCACTCCCTTCGTATCATATTAACATTATAAACATTCTCGAACTCCAATCTCCTCTTGTTCCAGTTCAACCATGCCAAACAGCGACCCCACCCCTCGCTTGAACTAGTAGCCAGACGGAAACGCGAATTCCTGCTGTTCAAAACCAACGACAATAATAAACACAAAACAATGCTCTCCTGTCAGACCTTCACGCGTTGTTTAACAAAAAGCAAACTCTCGTACCTAACTACGATTTCAATGAAAGTATGAATGTGGCACTTATCAGCGAGCAATATTTCGAACAGGCATAAACTTTTGTATAGAAATGACTTCTTAGCCTTAGGGATAGACGCAGAGCTGAACAATTGTATGAGGTGTGTTAGTTTGTTTAGGCCGCGCTAGAGGGCTGAATTTTGGAACGGCGAGTACAACTGCATGTGGCTGCAAACTTCCACAACAACACGCACGTTTTCGTTCTTCATATAAACGATAGGCATTGTATTCTAATTTATCTCTCTTCTTTGGTGTGTGATTGCTTTCTGGAAGCTGACGTCCAGCAGTTGTTGCTAGTGTAGAAAATTGGTCACTAAATCAATTTGTGGCTAATCATATCTTTGGCTGTGAGTCAGAACCAATGGTAGTAAATGTTGCTCAGCTGCGCGTGTATGCCTTACTTCTCCTTACACGAAGCAGCCACCTTGTAAAGGTCCGCGGGTCCCTCAACTAGTAGATTTCTCCTTCTTCGACTTCCATTCTGATCGTGAATTCGTCCTTTAACTTTTCTCGAAAAAGGCTGGCTTTCTTGATGCGCAACCACCCAAAAATTGGACTTCCTCTCACTTGCTAACTAGTATATGTTTTCCCATGGCTCCAAGACATCACGAATCGAATAATGAGGGCTTCTAGAACAAGTAGAATAACTGCTAGCTAAAAGTTGAAGCGAAAGATTCGCGAAAATTTGTCAAATTCAAAAAAAATTGTCGTCTGGTTACGCCAAGACATTCATCGGTTTATCAAAAACGCCAAGTAATCAGCCACCTTTATTCAAAAAATTCACAGAGAAGATTGCTTGAAACAGGCAGGTGTGGTTGATGTATCCTACAGTAATATTCGGTTTGTTCAGTGTAGGCATTCACGTCCTTCTTTGTCGAATGCGCCTTCGAGGTTCAGTACACCGATGTCCACCCATTGCTCTGGCTTCGGATTGCCGTTGTGAATGAACTTCTTCGGGATCACAAATCTCATCTTGCGGAGGCATGGCTGAAAATTTAGAACGGATATATGCGAGTGGTCTTGAGGACTAACAAGTAAGGTTAGCGTTTATATTATAGGTCTCGTAGAGGCTACGTTCTTCGAAGTTCAAGCCTTTTTCGGGCCTCATCCAATAAAGGGGGGGGGGCATTGCGATTTAGGGCGCTCAACGTGTTTGAAATCACGGAAAGCACACTCTTTTTTGTTAACGTTCAGGTTCTGATTCACAGAAGGAGCGACCGGGGTCTCAATGCATTCTTCGTTTTCCCCGGAGATTCCTACCCTCGATTGCTTAGTTTGAGTTGTCGATGGTGTGATTATTACTTTCTATGAGCAGTTGCATTAACGCGGCAAGAGTTATTTACGTTATACAAAACATCTGAGGATACCGTGGGCACAAGGCTAAGCAACTTGTAAGTTTGGAGGAACCCTTGAGCCAAATTGGCATCAGAGCGGACTGTGCACCGCAATGCCCCCTCTTATCGGAAGAGACCCCAGTCTTCTGTTACCGTTTCTGTATGACCTACATTCTTTTCGTCCAGGCAGTCGTGCCATATGTACAGTACAGGATCGATTGGTGTCATTTCGTGGTGGTCGATGCGTTACTTCAACCGCCAACGATCTGTTAATGTTCATCCAACGTATCGTCTGGGTCCGGTCCTGTAAACCAACTCTGTAAACTGTAAATTAGAAAAACTGTCAGGACCACTCCCGTGATCACCCGCCACAGGATGACAAGACATACTGCCGGGCAAGGCCCACTTTTTGTTGGGACGGTCTGCGCCGCAAGTGGAATGAGTGGGTGTGTTATCACCACGTGCTCATGTTTCATTGTTTTTGGAGAACTGATCCTCAACATGGATTGCATTGTTATTCTATTGAGGTGATTAACTAACACCAGAATGGATTCCAAAGAGTTTTGCATTCGTTCTATCATGGCTTTCTTAGCTAGCCGTTTGCTGTTTGGTTCTTGATCGATGAAGGGAAATTCTGGCATATTTCCTCTATACTATTGACATTTAGGTAAGGCTGTTGGGGCTTCCAAAGCCAAGGGTCATGTGCCGTATTTGCATGTGTATCATGCCGCGCTTTCCACAGCGGTGGTCCCAGCTCCACCCGTCCCCATGTTAGGAGTTAAACGGGGAGGACAACTTAATCATTAGTTGATACATTCCGCCATCACCATGATGCGATTTTGGCGTTTGAAATTTCTGAGGGCCTCATGTGTGGAAAAGAAAAAATCACCGGACATGCTGAAAAATACCGCCCTATTTTTTAAAGGTGAAAAAGTTGTCAAACAGGAAGAGGCAGGCAGTCTAAGATATAGTGAGTGCGGTGGCGAGAGAAAAGAGCACGAAACGAGAGCATAGGTAAGGGGGCCAAGCGACTGTTGCGCCGAAATAGGGGCGGAATGCGTTTCTAATTGAGGAAAAAGGCTGCAACTAAAATTCCTAGCCTATTTTATAAAAAAGAACGAGGATAGTTTGCTATGACCATTCATTTCCAACGACGTACCGTAGTCAAGATCAACAATCCGAACTTTGGTATTTTTAGCAGGGACGGCACCGCATTTTAGCACTCCACGTACTGCAACTCCTTGTTTGCGCATCGCCCAGCATACTCCCATCACCAAAGCGGAATAGAGAAAAAGGAGTTGCCAGAACTGCATCTGGAACCTTGATTACTTCTACGAGAAGCGACGTGAACTGTACCCGAACAATGAGCTTGATCACTCGTTTATGGCGTTTTTGTTCAATGATAAACCCTTGAATTAGAGGAACATCTTGCCAGAGGTCCTTTTACTTACAGAATTTGTCAAATTCAACTCAATGACATTAGCCTATCAAGGAGACGATATAGTGTACCGAATAGCATGATTGCAGCATAAGATCGTAAACGTCTTAAGCTCTCTATGGCCAGATACAAAGAAGGGCTGCTGCACAACAGGGAAACCAAAAGAATAGTTCTCCAGCTTCTCTCTTCTTGCAACCTCGGCATGTCAGTTGTAAGTGTGTTAGTACTTCTGTGCCTTACGAGGTTGTTAGGTGGAACTCTTTATTCAGTGGACCTAACTTTTCGACTGAATCCCGTGCTAACGGTGGACTATCGTTCTCTGAAGACGACGATTCAGTCGAAACGTTAGCCCACTGAATAAGAGTTCCACCTAACAACCTCGTAAGGCGCAGAAGTAGTACCAAAAACCAACAGTATTAGATTTGAGTGCGGCATAGAACCATGAACAGAAAGAAATCGGCGCAACTCGCAAAAATATTAAAGCAAATAACTGTAAAGGTGGTATGCATGTGAATCAATGAATACAGTTGAAACCAATTTTCAATTGTGTGAAGTGATTTATGGAGAGGTTGTTTTTTTTTCAAAAATATTCTGCCTTGAGCTACTTTTTTATGTACATTGTTGTACGTGGACGTAATTTGACGACATTTTGGAAATATTGTTGTTTTCCATGCAGCAAAGGGCGGAGGTGGATTAGCGACAAGAGGCGCCGCTCCCCTTGCGCACGGCCTAGAGTTAAAGGCGAACTCCGGGATTGAACTGGTGCTATCAGCGCTCCGTAGTGATAGCTTAGCTGCGGAACGACCTGAAAGTGGAAGGAAATCTTTGGGAACGCTGAAATTAAGGCCTTAACCTTCAACAGGTCGGATGTGGTACGATGGCGAGAAAGGGCGGTCAAAGAAGACAAAATACGCGAGAGAGCACGTCGTTTGAGAGAGCACGCTGATCTCTACATCTGATCTCACCACCTCTCGCGGTGGGTGGGAAGCGTTGGAATTGGGTCGATGGTTGCAGGCCCGTAAGGATTAGCGCCCTAACCGCGCAATTTTTGCGAAGCTGGAGTGATCTAGGTAGGTACGGACCTTACAATTTCCCCGTGGTATCCTTCCTACTAGTCGGGCTAATCCCGGGGTTTGCCTTCAAAGAACGAACTTGCTCAGGCCCATCAAGTGTTCCGTACTTTTGAGATTGGTAAATTAATAACAAACTTCGCCGACAGAACAAGAGCATTAACTTTTACAACTTTCGACTGACCATCGTAAGCATCCTGAAGGTGTATTATCAGCTTGCATCCAAGGGTTCCAAATTTGAAGGGGATGTGGGGCGCATTACAGAGTGAGAGAACGATCAAGGCCAGGCTTCTAGAAGGCTTTTATGATATTGGATGAAAAGCATGGAAATGGTGCAGTGACAGGTCACGGCATAGCTAGTTCGCGTGCGAAATACCATCTCAGTGGAAGAGGAAGCAGGATGAGTGGGGCATCACCATGGGGGTTGCCCCACGCATCGCATGACTTTTTGCTAAAAACTGGTAACTTCTTCAGAACATGGCATCACAAGTTCCCCTACGATACTTGACTTGTACCGATTTTCTTCATGGTGGCGTTGCACCGATACACTTGTGTGAGCTTAAAGGAATCTTCC